ATCTAGTCACGTATTGTAGAATATTTTGAGGATAACTTATAAAGAGCAAACAACAGGAAAAAGTACTCTTATTCTAAAGTTCATTGTTGGATTCTATTGAAGGAGTAATAGTAGTGGGTAAAAGTTCATTAAAGTTATGAAGGGCAACATGAACTCTTCCCTGACATGATGACACTAGAACATCAAATTTCTAATGAGCAATGAAGGTCATCAAGTCTTAAAAACACCATACAATCATTGAGTGTCATTTGTATAAAGAGAATGAACCTCACTATATACTAGTTTACATGTAATATCTGGTCAAAATATAGTTTTGATAAATGGATGAAGAGTAGACTTAATGATATTGCATAATTAAGCATCAAGTTTTTCCATTTAGCACAATTATGGGCTGGTACAAATGCAATAGTGTGGATAAGGTGGTATTTGTATCTTTGGCCACTAACCCATATGAATATGTCAAAGGCTTATGTGGAGTAATTCAAGAGTATATCAATGTTAGGCTTATGCAAATCTAAATGAGTAGTGGACATGATCGGAAATGGAGGAACATAATGTTGAACCAAATATGTTTTGAACATCCAAGACTCTAGGTTTTGATGATAACAAAGTCATGATATTAATGAGCTAACAATTTAGCTAAGTCATTGTAGGAAATATGGGTCCAAAAGAATAACTATGGAGACCTTATGCTTTTAACTTAATAAAGATGTTTTTTTTTATCAAACACGAAAATAAGTGAAAATGAATCTATACATGTCTTGTATGAGTCTATGTCCAATGTTTAAAGCACTAGACCAACATGTCCTTCTAATAACTTAAAACAAGTCTAATGTTGCCCTTAACATTTTTATGCCTTAAACTATGTTATTTTTAAACTGTTCAAAAATAATGTTGATAAATGCTCAGATAGTTTGGTGTGGTTATAAATGTTTGTATGCTTTATTTTCTCTTTTATGTATACATACGTAGTGGTACATGTAAAGCAACATGAATGCAACATCCACAAAAAGAAATATGCTTACAAAAAGAATGTTCAACCCTTGCAATACCTTACTCAGAAGAAGTCAACAATGATTTTGTGTTTATTGACTTTGAAGCACTTGAACATAAAACACGCATGTCTCAATGTGTAGAACCAATCATCCATTGAAGAACAAGTTTGAATAACTCACGAAGGGCTCCCACTTCACAATGGTCATATCTTGAAAAACCTTTATATATACAAGAAGATTTGAAAAGTTTGAAGAACTATTAACTCATTTTAAGTTGTGCCAAAACTTAGATATTTTCTAAGCTTTCAACATATTGTAAATCGTCATATATCGGGTGAATAGGGATCTAAGTTGAACCTTAACTTATCCTTGCCTTAGAAACTCTTCTCTTAAGTGTACCCAATCTACATATCCTTTCCTTGAGAGTTTTTCTTATAAACATCTTATCTTAGATTATGTTGAGCCTAAAGAGGTTAGTGAATGATTGCTATAAATAATTGTTCACATGTAAGCCCAAAATGGTAGTAATAATACTTGTAAGTTCCAAGTGTTTGTGGAACCCTTTGAGTTCGAAGTTAACTAGATGTAATTCAGATTGAGTGAATTAATATAAAAATACAAGTTTCTTTTCTGCACCTTTTTTTTTGGGATGAAACACTTTTAGAACCTATATTTGTTAGTTCTGCGAAAAGCTTTCAAAAACCTTTACATTCACATTTAAACCCCCTTTTGAGTGTTTATTTCACTTTCAGTTGGTATCAGATCTTAGCATCATAGGGATGAACATCTAATGGAAGATGATCTTATGGAAAATGAAGCCAACTCGTTTATTATCCACCTCTCTTCAAGTGAGTCAAGTATGATTACTACAAAAGTAGATAATGATAGTCTTCTTCAACACTTGCCACATAGATATGTGGGATGTAGTTGAGAATGATAACAACATTCCCGTGGACAAAAATCTTGATGAACTCTCACAAGATGTGTATGATGGGGGAACTCCTGTTCTTCCTTGGATTGCAAATCAAAATAAGGTAGCATCAACATACACTAGATGAAGTACATTTGTTCAACTTCCAAACTCAAGAAAAAAAATTGCAACATATGCATAAATGAGAAGCATAACCACAACAAAAAGTTGCCTTGTAATGACTCACCCTATAACAATATAATATTTGTCACTAAAAACTATTTTTACTTATAATTATATTCTCGTAATTGTTAAAAGGTGTAAGTATAAGATATAATGACATACAATATATGATGGCAACCCTCCTTGCATGGATTGAGTTAGGAGCATTAAAGAGGGAAGATCGGACTCCTTGGATCATGGAACTCAAGGTTTCTAGCCTTGGTGATGGAGATGGACAAATGGTGTTTATGGAGGCTAGGTGTTTGATGAAATGCTAAGGTGGTACTCTAGGGTTTTGGCTCACTTCATTGATGGATGAAGGCCACTCCTAAAGGTGAGAACACTCACGGTGAAGATGAGAAGGATAGTTGGCTGAAATGACCAAGGGGACTAAGGAAAGAATATTAAGGCTCAAAAGCTCTCTTAATATCATAAATTCCAAAGTGATTACAAGTTGCATAGCCTAGGGTATTTATAGAAGGGAAGAAGCATTTAGGATTGCATTTGAGAGTGCCGAAAAATGCAAGCCAAATGCACTTCAAATGAAACCTAAATTAACCTTAGATGCTACTTGGTGGCCAAGGATGGAATCTTTGGGTTGAGTTAAGCTACATCTAGGTGTATGATAAGACCATGCATCCTAGGTGCCCTTCACTTAGGCCTAAACCTTGCCAAGTCCAAAAACAAATTCAATGTCACCAAAAAATACGTCTAGGCCTATTTTCTAACCCTAATAAAATACCTTAGCTATAAAATAAAATCCTATAATCTAAGGCACCCCATAATATAAGGGTAAAATAAGAAATACAAGTAAAAATAAATCCTATGACTAAGGCACCCCAAAATACAAGAGTAAAATGAGAAATACAAGTAAAATAAATCCTATGTCTAAAATACCCAAAATACAAGGATAAAATAGGAAATTAAAGACAAGGGCAAAATAGGAATAAAAATAAATTCTATGCTAATAAAAACTTAGGAGTTACGACCCAAAAGTAGGCTCACTCCTCCTATGGTTTTCAAAACTAACCCATTTCTCTTGCATCCTTCAATATATCACCTCTTGATCTTCTTGGTCTTAGTGTTATTCCATCATTATATTAAATCTCATTCAAAATTTACACTAAAATTGTGTGTAAGTACATGTCAATTAGATTTATACCTATATAAATTGGATCTATAACAATACTTTGTGTATGTTATTATAAGTAACATTCTTTTTAGTGAACTAATAATATGAAAATATAGCTTGCATTTGTTTATTAATTTAGATTCTATTGGTCCTTATGTTTTTAAATAAATTTAGTTTGGTCTTCATATTTTTAATATAGTTCAATTTGTTCCTTCATATAAAAAATTATGCCAACTTGGACAATTAACTCTTAACTCAATTTTCTTTAACGTAGACAATTCAAGATGTCACAAAAATAATCATGTTAAATCATTTTATAAATACAAAGGACTAAAATATTATTATTTTTAAATAAAAAATCAAATTAAATAAAAAATGCAAGGCTAAAAGTGCAATGTATCTTAATATTTATATAATTTAAAATTTCCATTTTTAGAACTTGTTTCATAGTTTTTATTTATTTATTTAAGTCGTAATTAAATTATAAAATTATGTCATATTATTTAAGAAAAATATGTATTTAAATTAATATATAAACATTATATTAATAACATTAAATATTGTATTATTGTTAAAAAAATTTAAATATTATATTAATATTAACAAATCATTTATTTGAGATATTAGATTCAAGTTTTTTTAGATAAGATCTTAAGTTTGAATGTTGTTAATAAGAAAAATGTAGTTGAAAGAAGAGATGTCACTTAAAGTGGTCATTTGTTTTCATATTTAATCTTTATATATTAAATACGTATTTCTATTTTATATAAAAATATTTTTAGGAACTTTTCTTCGAGGGTTTATAGGGATTTTTAAAATTTTTTTTTTATCTAATTTGATTTTATTTTTCATAATTATTTATAAATTAAATATTAATAATTTAAAATAAGTATGATTTTTTATTATGATATAAATTATTTATCATAAATCTAAAATATAATTTATACATTTAAAAATATTTATATATCCTAATTTTAAATATAATTTATATATTTAAATATAATTTATTATAAATCTTAATTATATATAATAAACACATCTATATATACTAGCAAGAAAAAGACACTTCGTGCATTATATTAAAAGAAAAAAATAAATAAGTAAGAAAAAAATAAAAAAGTTATTTATAAAAAAAGTAGTTATTGAAAAATAAACAAAGGATAAAATGATTCATGTAAAAATAGAAATTAAAAGTAATTATTGAAAGTGATATTCCTTTTATATATTAGTATAGATTTATCAATTTCAAATTCTTAAATTTGATTAAAAATTTTTTTTCTATTTTTTTAAATAAAAAAGTATAATAGTAAAAAAAATAAAAACCAAGATAATTATAAAAAAAAAATATCTCCTTTATATATTAATATAAAATATACAAACTAAAATACTAATAAAAATTCATTGCGAATGAACACGTAACCTTACCTGAACATGATACCAAACAAACTTTTTTTTTTATACATAAAAAACAAACACTTAACAAGAGGAAAATTATGCATTTTATAAAATTTGAAAACTAAATTTGTGAAATTAAAAATTAAAATCGCATATTAAATATTCCATGACTAAAAAAGTGCAACTCACTTTTAGTTATCCATAACAACAACAATATATATTTTAGTATATATAAAATAAAATAAACATATATTAGTTTAAACCTTAAATTCATATATATATAAAATCCTAAAACCGAAAATAAAAAATAAAAAATAAAAAATAAAAAATCTTAGGTTAGATACGTTACATTCTCTCCCCTTTCCGCGTCTCTCTTCCTCTCTTAGGTGTCTTCGAAAATCTCTTCCCCTATCTTTCTGCGCTTGGAGTTGGCCAAGTGATGGAGTCACCCAGTAATACTAATCACCACGCCCTCGACGGAGACGTCAACGACGACGACAAGCCCCAACCTCTCACCGGCGACGGTGCCAGTCCCGGGTCCCTTTCGCTTCTTCTTCTTCTTCTCGCTCTTTCTCTCAATCGAAATTTCTTATATTTGGTTCTCTCTAATTACACTGCACCGTGTTCATTGCAGAAAGATATTCATCGGGGGTTTAGCCAGAGAAACCACGATTGGTTAGTGTTTCCATGACTACTTCGTTACTTTCTCTTGTTTCGTGTTCGAGCATGTGGTTAACTAACGCCGTTTTTTGTTTTGTGCAGGTCAATTCATCAAGCACTTCGGTAAATACGGCGAGATAACGGATTCCGTCATCATGAAGGACCGTAAGACCGGCCAGCCTCGCGGTTTCGGCTTCATAACCTACGCTGATGCCTCTGTGGTTGATAGTGTTATTGAGGACACTCACATTATCAATGGCAAGCAAGTAATTTACGCCTGCATTTGAATTTTGAACCTTGTTGAGTGTTGGTTGAGGGGAATTAGTGAAAGCTGAAGCTAATGCTGTGAATGGTCTTTAGGTTGAGATTAAGCGGACGATACCCCGAGGTGCTGTTGGCTCGAATTCGAAGGACTTCAGAACGAAAAAGATTTTTGTTGGTGGGATTCCTTCGACTGTAACCGAAGGTTGTGTTTCAATTGAGTTATTTTTCACCTGTTGATGTTGATGTTGATGTTGATGTTGATGTTGTGGTGATGACATTGTAGGTGCTGCTGTAGTGTTTAAAAATTCTAAAATTGAGGATATGGTGTGATCCATGAGCATATGTAATAAACATGTTGTATGCACTGAGTGTTAAGAAGTGGTGGTATTATATAGTTAGTTATTTATACATTAATAGAGAGATGCCTGGAAAATATGTCTAGTGTGTTGAAATTCGGTTTAGAATGTATTTAAGTTTCAAAATTTGAATTTCATTTCATGTTATGTGTATCTGTGTATTGCTTTAAGAGGTGTTGGAGATTTTATTCTTGTATTGTACACAGAAGTAAGTCCTTTATGAGGTTTCAGTGCTTTTTTGCTGGAGAATACAATTAGTATAAATACATTTTATGTTCGAGCTTTCTTTGGTGATAAAGTTCATCACTTGCTTTCACATTGTTTATATCTTTTAGGGTGGAAAATTGTGTCCAAAGACACAAACGCATTCATCAAAAATTTGAAATTTGCATGGATGTTTATGATATATCATGTGTGAATTGGTTGTTAGGTTAATTGAGCTTGAATGGACTTAATTTGCTGCTTTCTAGAAAAGCAATTATTGTTTTGGAAAGTAACTTGCTAACCAAAAAAGAGGTGCAGAAAATAGATCCTCTGTGGGTTTTACTATTTTAATTAGATATGCACTTGTGCAGACGAATTTAGGGATTTCTTTACACGCTATGGAGAAGTCAAAGATCACCAAATAATGCGGGACCACTCTACTAATCGTTCACGTGGCTTTGGGTTTATCACCTATGACTCTGAAGAAGCTGTTGATGATCTCTTATCCGTGGGAAACAAAATTGAGTTTGCTGGAGCTCAGGTGAGTAACTTTTTTATCAAAAATGAAAATGGATTAGGATAAAGTGTACCAATAGGATTTTATTTTATAACTGAATTCCAAATTTGCAGTTTGAGTTCAGGCTAAAATGGAAAATTAGCAATTGGAGTGGTTTATTGTCTAATGCACATCCTTACTGGATGAGTTTCCATCCTTAAGACCCAACGTTTAAAATTTGCTTTGATTATTGGATTGAATGAGTGAGAATTGCCTTTTGTTCTTAAGGCTACTGTAATTTTTTTAAGCATGTAGAATATTACTCTAGAAAGAAGGGTATGGGGGGTATTGGGTTGATTTTTCCAGACATGACCCCTTTTGCATGAGTTAATTCTTTTAGTCCTGTAGCTTTTGATCTTACATCATCAAGGAGGTTCTTGACTCCTGTAGCTTAATCTTAAAAATTTACAACAGGGAGGCAGTTTTTAGGTTTTACTGTCTGATCTATCGCCATGGTTGATGTAAAGCTTATGTTTCTTATGAATCATAATCATTTTTAACATGAGACATAATATATTTCCGATTCTCTATATCGTGAATGATCTAAATACTTCAATTGTTGCACTTTCATCCATTTATTTTTATTAATTAAATGATTTCTCATCATTTAAGGAGCATGGTTATTTTTCCCTTTTTAGGTGGAAATCAAGAAGGCAGAACCAAAGAAGCCTAATCCACCAGCCCCATCATCCAAGCGCTATAATGACTCTCGTTCTTCATATGGTGGTGGATACGGAGATGCTTATGACAGTGGATTTGGTGGTAATTTTGATATGGGTGGCTATAGGTCAGGTGGTGCCTATGGTGGTAGGGGAAGTGCTTATGGTGGCTTTGGAAGTGAATTTGCTGGGTATGGTGGATATGCTGGTTCCTTGGGGCCTTATAGAGGTGACCCTTCACTTGGGTATGCTGGTCGATATGGTGGAGGTTTTGGCAGAGGTTATGATCTTGGTGGGTATGGACCTAATGAAGGTTATGGGGCATATGGTGGTGGTGGCTCCTCTGGTAGCGCCTATGGAAGCAACTATGATGCCAGCCTAGGGGGTGGATATGGGGGGCCAGGTGGAGGCTCTTTTTATGGGACTAGAGGGGGATATAGTGGTGCAGGAACTGGTCGATATCATCCTTATGGAAGATAGAAGTTTGTCATCGAAGAATTATAGTCTAGGACTAAGATGTCTAGCATTAAAGCAAGTTTGTAGTTTGTTGTGTTTGGTTATTCAGTTCTCTAGGCTACATATTTTCATTTTCTGAAAAAAAAAATCTGTCAATGATACTTTTATTTACAAGTCCCTTTAGTTATTAGCAGCACACTCTCGCCAGCTTTAGAAGACCAAACATTTTTTTAGCTCGGCCCTCTGTTGAAGTCTGATTATCTGATTGATGTATGAGCTAAAACAGTGCAGATGGTTGTATTCTTAGTTTTGTTCATGGCTACATTTTTCACTACTGCTCTTTATGTTTATTTAATTTTGATACACTTATTAAGACTTCTTTTGATTGAAAAAGGTTCATGCCTGATTTTGGTTTCACTTCCTGTGTTTTTGAAGAACTTGTATTTTATACCTTTTAAGGTACCGGTATATTGTCAATGGAATCTTTCATTACTAGTAATAACGCCAATTTTTTTTTTTTCTTTTCTTTTGATTATTACAGGGAAACATGAGACTAATACGGTACTTCGTCCCCCTTCACAGGTATTCAAACATTTTCGTGAGACCAACTCATAAATTATATAGTCAAAGAAGTAGAGTAAAAATAAAAAATTATGAACAAGAACCATTATTTAAGCATCGAATATGGCAACCATATTTGCGTTGATCATTCTGCACCCTTTTGCCATTCAAGCAACTCAAACGTTAGGCTTTGTAACCAAATAAACCCACGATTATAAGAACAAAATCTCTTATTTGTATCTTATGAAATTAGTGAGCAGATGTAAAGTTAGTATGGGTGATATGACCTTAGTTTGGGAATCTTTTCCCCCAAAACTTCGAATGGAATTATAGGTTCACACTAAACACAATTAGAGTAAGTCGGTAACTATCAGTCAACCGAAAATTAGGCGTTCACCAAACCAAGGTTCCTGCAAATGAAATGATTAGTATATAACAATGAAGACCACAATATACTGAGTAGATAGTTAAACTTTTCTAAATGCTTGTTCACTGCTCAACACTATGAAAGGATGCATATCTTAGCAAAGTTTCCAAGAGTCTTTAGACAGAAAACATAGTTGGGAAGAGCTAAATCACCTTTGAACACCTTTAGATCTATCAAAAGAGATCAGTCTCGGTGAACAATTAGAGATAATCCTTGTAATCACGTGCCTTCAGATATAACAAAAGATATTAGTCTCGGTAAACAATTAGAGATAATTTCAGATCTATCAACAGAGATTAGCTTCCGTGAACAACTAGAGATAATCCTTGTAATCCCCGGTGTATAATTTTTTTAATTAGTTTTAATAAAATATTACCTTTATAACTGTTTTGTTGATTGAGTTTTAGCTGAATGATCCTGATATTAATTTGAATTATTTTTTTTCATAGCATTTGATATATCTTGGTAAACAACGAGACATAATCTTTGTAATCACGTCTGTATTAAAAAAGGTTATTAGTTTTAATATAATATTTACTCTTTATTTGTTTTGTTAATTGAGTTTTAATTGAATGATCCTAATATTAATTTGAATTTAATTTTTAGCTTAAGTCCATATAATTTTGCGAATGTGCAATTTTGGTCTTAAAAATTTCTTCTATTGCAGATTTGGTTCTAAGTTTTTAAAATTAAGTATTGTTGATCTATTCATTAACATATCTAAAATTAAACCATGTGTTTATGAATGACACTACTTGAAAGTTACTTAGTTATATCGACTTTCATGTGTTATTATAATTGGTATATTTCTTTTTATTTTAATTAAATTAAAATTTATAATCTTTAAAAATGTTTTTTTATAATTTTAATATTATTATTTTCTTACATGTCTAACTAATTAATAAACAAGATTATTATTCAAAGACATCAATATTTTTTTGTTTAATTTTATATGCATCATTACTTAATTTTGAATACATTGGAGACCAATTTTTTTTTTTAAAAAAAGAAATTAAACTTGCACACTTCAGAAACTATGTGGACTATAACTCTAAGAGAATGTTTGGTATGTAAAGTGTCTTTACATTCTTGAAAATCTTAAAGTGAAAATTTTAGTTTTTTATGTTTGGTAGTTATTTTTTTATTTTTAAATTCTTAGGAATATAGTTTTGTAGAAATCAATTTTATGTCACTTTTCTACAAAAATATTCCCATGAGAGAGGTAGAAATCCAAATTTCCTGAGTTAGAGGAAAAATTTAATGTATATAAAAGATTATAATATTCTTTTTTAAAACAAAAAATCTCTCTATTTCCCTCTCTCTCTCTTTCTCTCTAACTCTCACTCCCCCTCTCAATCTCTCCCTCTCTCTCTCTCTAACTCTCACTCCCTCTCTCTCTCTCTCTCTCCCCTTCTATTTCTCTTTTTCCCTCCCTCTCTCTCCCTTCCCCTCATTTCCTCTCTGCCTCTCCCTCACACACACACTCTCTCTCTTTCTCCCTCTCCCTCGCTCTCTCTCTCTCTCTCTCTCTCTCTCTCTCTCTCCCCTTTTGTTTCTCTTTCTCCCTCTCTCTCTGTCTCTCTCCCCTTCTATTTCTCTTTTTCCCTCTCTTCCACTCCCCCTTTCTTCCTCTCTCCCTCTCCCTTGCTCTCTCTCTCTCTCTCTCATTGCCCCCTCTCTTCCTCTCGCCCTCTCCCTCTCCCTCTCCCCCTCTCTTTTTCTTTCTCCCTTTTTCCTTCTATTTCTCTTTCTCCCTCCCTCTCTCCCTGTCTCTCTCTCTCTCACTCTCATTCCCCCTCTCTCCTTATCACTCTCCCCCCCCTCTCTCTCCATCCTATATCTTTATATCTTTGTCTCTCTCTTTCTTATATTTCATTATTTCTCGACCTTGTTAATTTTAATAATATTATTAAAGTCTATTTTGTTTTTATAGTTTAATAGTATTTGTTAAAATTTATTTATTTATTTATTTGAATGAAATGAAATATAATTTTTTTATCATTCTTAATTATTATGTAGCATTCTTCTTTGTTTTTTTTTGTTGAATTCTATATTTAAATAATTTTAACTATAAGAGGGGTGTATTGGATTAAGATTTTAAAGGATTTTTTTAGTTGAAAAAAGTTTTGTGGATTTTAAAAGACTTTGCAGGATTTTCATGACTTTTAAGATTTTGTAGGATTTTACAAGACTTTCAATCAGAATTTTAATGGATTATGTAAGACTTTTAAGTCAGGATTTTAATGGATTCTGTGGGACTTTGGGAACTTTGCAGAATTTCATAAATTTTTGATATAGGATAAGAGTTCAAGACTTTTTTAATAAATTCAAATTTAAAAAGAGTCAAATATAAAAATAATAAAAGAAAAAAATAATGTCTAGATAAATAATATTAATAATAATTCTTCGTAATATCATTCGTTCTAAATATAATTCACCCACATATCCATAACTACACTAGTCATCCAAGCATTAGTATATTTTCGCTCTTGTTCCTAGGTTTTAATAATATGCTCAAAATTATGATTTAACCAGTAATGTTGAAGATGAATGTTCATCCATCACTCTAATTAGAAATTTATTAGAATGACATTTTTTACGAAGAAAGTTATATATTGTTGAACATGCTAAAAATTATTTTAAACAACAATTCAATTTTTTTATTTATAATTTGTGATTTAAAATATTTTATTTATAATTTTATAAATGATTAAAAAAATAGTGGGACAACAACCATACTTTCTTATAACTAAATATGTCCCTTAATTTTATATCGGTACTGAAATAGAAATTTACAAATATTGAAATTTGTTACAGTTACAAAATAAATTTTTAAATTTTTAATGGCTTTCAATTATTCACTCGTGAAAAAATATTTTTAGTATTGAATTCTAAGATACTGAAATGTTTTATGTTATTTTTTTTTTTAAATATAAAAAATCTTAATTTCATAATATAAAAATTAAAAAAATAAAATTCATAATAAAAAAGAATTAAAATAATTGTTGAGTCATGAAAGGGGAAAGATAACAATAAAAAATTCAAGAGAGAGAGATCGCAATATTTTTTACTGAGAGGGTTCTTCCCCCAACTAAGATCCATTCTTATATCGTTTTACTCACAAAAATCCTTATATATATATATATTGTTCTAATAAATTAATTACAAGGTCTTGAAGATCTATAGTTGATTATAGAGATCATGATATTAATTTTAGCTTTCACCTTTTTCTTTTCTTGACACGTGTTATAAAAAAAAAAATTACTACTTAAAAGTTAAAATTTCAAGTGTTTTCTGTGTTATATAATTGAGGAACAATCTCAATTAAATAGAACAAAATAGAGCAAGTCAATAACAATAACATTTACCTATAAAAGTTTCACCAAATAAGGGAATGAAATGAGAACAGTAGTACATTATTATATATGAGCAGTAGTGTAGTATTATTAACAAGAGAAAAAAATGGAGAAGATATGAGCATAAAAAAAAAGAGAGATGAAAAACTCACTTGAAAATTCTTGAAGCACTTGAAAAGTCACTTCAAACAATCTTCCAAAATCTTATGGGTTTGGATGAAATTGTTTTATGAATTTGGTATTTATAGATACCACTAAAAAGTCCTTCAAAATCCCTCTAATACAAAAATCCTTTAAAATCTCTATATTTTTGAATACTAATGGATTATTTTTAAGTTGTAAATTTAATGAACTCTTTAAAAAATTTTAAAAATTCTGATTGAATACCGTTAGATTATTTTTAAGTGACATAAAATCCTGATCGAATACCAACGGACTTTTTTACTCAAAAAAAGTCTTTTAAAATCCTATGAAATCCTAAACCAATACATCCTCCTAAGTTTTTAACCTTTTAAAGATAGTTTAATGTCATATTTTTAATAAGATTTAAGTAAATAAATATATCTAATAAATTTATTTCAATAAAGAATATATTTGTAAAAAATATTTATATTTCTAAGAATATAGTAGTGTAACCAAATACGAAAATTTTAAACTTTTGGAAATTCTATATGAATTTTTCTAAGAACCTTTATGACTAGCTAAACATATTTTAACTATTATTAAGAATCATGATTTTTATGATTTATAATTTTCAGGAATCATGATTTCTAAATATGAAAAAACTCTTCCTTTTATCAAACGGTCCCTAAAAGTGTATTTAAGCATTATTTTTTTTAAAGCATTTAATATATTTTGATGATTGATATTGTTTGGTCATAATGTGAATAACTTTTCTATCAACGGCATAAATGTAAAATGTTTTAAAAAAATCTTTAATTTAATTTTCAATCTTTATTTAAAATTTTATATTTAAATTTTTTTTTTAAAATTACAAACTTTGAGTTAACTTATTACATTCACTTGCTTTTGCTACACACACACCTCAGTTTATTGTTTTTTTTCTTCTACGTAACTTATTTCATATTTTTGTTTATTCATTTAAAATATATTATAGAAACAAAAAAAAAATGATATAAAGATTATAAAAATAAAGATAGATTACAGTTTTTGGGCTAAACGGAAATCAATAACATATGAAAGAAAATTATAACTTTAGAAACACTCCAATTGCATATGCTACAAGCTTGTGGTGCAAATCAACTAAGGAATCCTCTAATTCAAGTAGTGTAAAACTAATATGATTTCTCATGAATGCTTTTTAAACAAGTTTCTCACGATATTATTTTCAAAATAGGTGAGAAACTAACATCCCTGAATTAAGGGGTGTTTAGTAAAAGAAATTTTTTGTCATGTTTAAGAATTATATTTCTCCGGAATCATAAATTTTGAAAATAGTAATTAATGATTAAATTTTTTTGATAATATTTATAAATATTATTTTGGGAATCAATTTTTTTACCATATTAACTAAGTAAATTAAGGTAATTAATATTTTTACTATAGTAAAATTAACATTCCCAACAAGCATGTTTTAGTGTAGTAAACTCTAAAAATATTATATTAGACTTAGTTAATACTATAAAAATTTTTGATTTCCAAAATAATATTTATAAACATTCCTAAAAATACTTATCACTAATTAAAAAATTTAATCATTCATAAACAACCATAATACTAGAGGCCGAAAATATTTCTCATCTATCAAAGACATTATAAGAGTATACTTATAAACAATATTCCAAGGTTGTCTCATCAATTCCTCAATATTATCTAAGAGCTACATAAATCGGATAAGACTAATTTATCAAAAATAAGAAGCATGTTGAGTCAAAGTGACAAAATGAGAATCTCCTTTTTTAAATTATTTTCAAACCCTAAATCATAGTTAATAATTTCACTCGAGTATTATTTGCTTATCATATAACTCCGTAAAAGTCTAAGATCTATCTGTCATTTGAATATATGATGATTTTGTCAATTTCAGCTAGACTTTTATATTTAACATTTTTAATTTCAATAAAAAAATATTTAACAGTATCTTTAATATTTTATATTTAATCTCTGATGGCTACTTAAAAAAAAAAACATATTCAATTTCTAAAAAATATCATAATAATACTTTATATTTAACAATAACATGCGAACCAATGTTATACTTTTATGATTATTTTAAAAGATAAATTGTGTTAAAGTTTTATAGTTAAAAAAATATATAAAAATTTAACGAGAATTTTAGTAATACAGACAAGACAGATAGAAAACATTAGTTTTAATTTTAAGAAGAAAAAGAAATCTGTTTTGGGAAATTTGACTCCTGTCCCACCACAAAAAAAAATCCAGTTTTTTCTGGCTTTGCTGTTGCCATTTTGCGGGAGGAGAAGAGAACACAGAACGCTAGAGAAAACAAGCTAATTGTATGATAGCTCCTACGCACACCAACTCATCATCTTGAAAGGCAATGGCATCGTGGAACATGGGTCTCACTTCATGCCAGAAGGTACTCCTCCATTCACCCATTTTCGGACTTTTCCTTGATTCTTTTTTTGTCTTTTTTTTTTCTCATGGGTTTTGACTCTGTTAAGCAGACGATTTCATTTGAGGTTTCGTGCAGTAGGAAGAGGGACAGAGACAGAGAACGAGGTAGCATCCATCCCTACAAAGTGGTAGAGATAACTCCTCCACCCAAGTGTCTCGGTGTTCGTTGCTTGCCCCCCGTAAGTGCCATTATTGATTTTTTTTTTTTTGTCTTTTTCAAAATCAATTCCAAAGCTTCAATGTTGATAATTCATCGTTTAAATTAGGCAAACAATGATTTTATACTTTTGGATGGGTGAGAGTGAGATTGTGAGAAGGCATGGCTTAGGCAAAGGGTATTTTCTTTTTTTATTTTTTTTGTTTTTTTTTAGATTTTTCATTTTTAAAAATGAAATGTAATACTAGATAGTGTCATTAAACATATAATTGATGAAACACTAGTGTCGGTCTAGTGGTAAGGGATTGAAGTAATATGCATAAAGACTTATTTATAACAGATATCTAACTATGGAACCACCAATCTGCCCATGAAGTTTTGGGATCATGCTCTCCTAACCCGTGTTTATCTCATCAATCGCCTTCCGTCTTCCTCCAGTCAAAATGATGTTCCGTATCATAAGCTTTTCCACCAAAACCCAGATTATCATTTTCTTAAAGTTTTTGGTTGCTCCTGCTTTCCCCACCTTCGGCCTTACAATAAACACAAACTCCAATTTCGTTCACAAGAATGTATCTTTTTGGGGTATTCCACCTCTCACAAAGGCTACAAGTGCCTTGCCGTTGATGGGCGTCTCTACGTCTCTAAGGATGTTGTCTTCAATGAAATTCGATTTCCCTATAAGAATCTTTTCCCTTCATTCCCTGTCCATGCTTCCCAAGACACTGTCCAGGTTCCCATTACTGTGACCAACACCCCTAATCCTCCATCCTTCCCTTCTTCAGCTCAAACTTATGCCCCACTTTCATTCCTACTAATAGATCACCTGTTACTGAGGAGCCTGAACCTCCCACACCTGCAACTTCACCTCCTTCCCCCAACCTTCCTACTAGTTTATCTCCCTCCAATACCCCTTCCCATTCCTCCTCACCTCCTGACCCTCATACACCTCCTGACATTCGTCCCCACAACACTCATCCCATGATCACAAAAGCCAAAGATGGCATCGTCAAGCCCCGCTTACAACCAACCCTTTTATTAACCTATGCTGAACCCAACCAAAACCACTAAACAGGCTTTATCTAACTCCACCTAGTTTGCTGCAATGCAGACCAAATAGAATGCCCTGATGCACAATGGCACCTGGTCCCTTGTTCCTCTCCCGCCTGATAGAATTGCCATAGGTTGCAAATGGGTTTTTCGGGACAAGGAAAATCTTGATGGCTCTGTCCAAAAGTACAAAGCCCGCCTTGTAGCCAAAGGTTTCAACCAATAGCTTGGCTATGACTATAATGAAACCTTCTCCCCCGTTATTAAACCGGTAACTGTTAGGCTTATCCTTACACTTGCCCTGAACCATCACTGGCCGATTCAACAGCTAGACGTCAACAATGCCTTTTTAAATGGTACACTTGAAGAGGAAGTGTATATGACTCAACCTTCGGGGTTTGAATCCCTTAATAAGAACCTCGTGTGTAAGCTTCACAAAGCCATCTACGGGCTCAAACAAGCACCCTGTGCTTGGTTTGAGAAGTTAAAAACAAACCTACTACATCTTAACTTTCATGCCAGCAAATGCGATCCATCATTGTTTGTTTATTCTGCTGCCAATAATGTCATCTATGTCTTAGTGTATGTAGATGACATTATCATTACTGGTAATAATTCAACTGTCCTTCGTAACCTTGTTTCTCAACTTCATTTTGTCTTTTCCCTCAAAGATCTTGGTGCTCTTGACTATTTCCTTGGAATTGAAGCAAAAACTCAGTCTGATGGCTCCCTCATCTTAACTCAAAGCAAATACATAAGGGACCTCTTAAAATGCACTGACATGGAGGGAGCAAAGTCCATCTCATCTCCAATGGTCAGTGGCTGCAAGTTATCGAAAATTGGTTCTGAACAATTCCTTGATGCGTCTCTCTACAGATCAATCATTGGAGCATTACAATATGCCACCATACCCAGACCTGAAATCAGCTTCTTCTAAACAAGGTTTGCCAATTTATGTCTAATCCTCTTGAACAACATTGGGCTACTGTTAAATGCATCCTTCGATATCTGAAAGGCACTGTATATTGGGGTCTCCATCTGCAACCTGCTCCTTCCAACTCTCCTCTCTCCATTCATGCTTACTGTGATGCCGATTGGGCTTCTGATCCTGATGACAGGTGTTCAACCTTTGGTGCTTCCATCTTCCTAGGACCAAATTTGGTGTCTTGGCGGTCCAAAAAGCAAACTGTCGTTGCTCGTTCTAGCACGGAAGCAGAATATCGTAGTCTTGCCCTTGCTGCAACTGAAGTTTTGTGGATACAGACATTACTCTCTGAACTTAAGGTTCTTCACTCAGCTCCTGTTATCCTTTGTGACAACCAGAGCATTGTTGCTCTTGCTCATCAGCACCTTCAAGTGATTCATGTCCCTGCTATTGATCAGTGTGCTGATGTTCTTATGAAAGCTCTCTTTCCCTCTTGGTTTAGTGCTCTTCGGTCCAAGCTCCAAGTAGTTGAGTCTCCTCACCCTACTTGAGCTTGCAGGGGGCTATTGGAGTATATTTTACTCCTTATCTATATGTATAAATATAATATAGGCTGTTTAATATTCTCTAATTGTACTGTCACGTTCATTACTGTTTGTTATAGACCAACGACTATTACAGCTGTAGGCTTTATATAAACTCACCATATATCTCTTATGATAGTTAGTGAAAATACATTGAATTCATTCTCTTATCTCTTTCCTTCAGTTTCTCTCTCTCTCTCTTCTACTCATTCAGAACTCTATTAGCCTAGAAGGTGACTCACCACATGGAAAGGATCCTTGATAAGAGTTGCACTCTAAGAGAGGAACTCACAGACTCTTGAAAGTTGAGAGAAAAACTCAATTCTCATTCTGATATATCAAAAGTGTTGAGCTACAAGGGGGTATATACCTATATATAAAGTTGGTTAGCTTGTGGTGCTAGTTAAACTAACCAAGGTTAGGTGTGTAAAGGTTTGGTTAACTTGTACTCAAGCTAACTAACTATGGTTACCAAATTTGAATTTGAAATATTTGAATATTCAAAAATGGTGCCCAAATCTCTAGATCTACACTAGCAAATGAGAGCTATACAAGTGACATGGTGTGGAAGGTGTGATGGACTAATGGAGGCTGTGGAAGTAAGAAAGGGGATGTAGAAGCATCTATATAGGTGTGACTAGGTTGGGGATGTGTTAAGTCCAATGGGAGGGTGTGGAGAGCCCAAAATAGACATCCACTCATAAAAAGTTATTCTCCTCTCTCTCTTGGCCCAAACAAGTTCAATTAGCACATTTTTCAATTGCTAGTTGCTCCCCCCGAGAATAGTAGGTACACCCTTGAAGGGAAAATTACAAGAAAATAATTTTCTATCCTAATTGACCAAAATACAAGGTCAAAAGAAATATTTTCAATAAAAGAAAAGAAGAGATGAGTTTAATTACATATCCTAAAGCTCAACATGAGCTTAGGCCTTTCTCCTTCATTCCTTGTTCGCTCCTCTTGCATCCTCTTTGAGATGACCCTTGTAATAGGTCCTTTAGGAGGTAATATGTCATCACATTGTCACTACGAATGATTTTGATTTTTGAATCAAATTGAGTTTTGGCCATGTTGATAAAATTTGCTAGGAGATTCCTTGTGTCAGATTTGTGTTTCATAAGATAGACTCATCTGCATCTTGTGTAGTCATTGTCGATAGTAAGTAAAAAAATTGCACCCGAAAGAGAAGCAATTTTATAACCTCCCCTCCCTATATATCAACATGGATTAAATCAAAACAAGATGTCGTAGTATTGGAACTTGAACGAAAAGGAAGCTTTGTTTGTTTGGCTAAAGGGCAAATTAAACACTTGTCAATATCAAAATATTAATTTTGAAATTTGAAAAAGGAAATAATGGAGTAACTCTAGTTGATGGAGGCTAAGACGTTGATGCCAAAGGGTTGGACTATGGTTTTGAGTATGGTTGCACGTTCCTTTTTTGGCTTGATTGAGATGGTAGAGACCCTCCCGTTCAATTCCCATCCCAATCATCTTCCCTTAATGTAGGTCATGTATAACACAAAAGTGCAAGAAAATGGTCATATAAGAAGAATGGGAGGCTAACTTGCTAATTTAAATCATATTCAATTGAAAGTAAGGGACACATAAAACATTATCAAGGATTAAATTGGGTTACAAGAAATTTGTGCGAATATGTGTCACTTGAGCCAATGACCCATTCAACAACTACACATTGAGATTATTAACGGGTCTTAAGTGAGTAAAAAGACTAGGATTATGAACCATGTGATCGGTGCAACCACTATCTATGATCCAATTGCTTTGATTTCCATGGGAAACAAGTGAAAAAGCCTTACTTGAGAGCTCATCATGGGTTGAACAATTACTAGCATTATTGGTAGAGGATTTGATCTACCAATAATGCTGGTAATTCTTTAGTTGAGAGCTCATCAAGTGAAAAAGCCTTACTATATAGTGCATCAAGTATTTGTTTGCATTCTTTAGTTGTGAAAGGAAAATTCATTTACTTCCTTCTATTTATAGATGAAGTAGCATGTTTTCCCCTAAAAATCATTGTATTGAATTTAGCCTCAATAGTTGCTTTTTTCTTGCGACAATATTCAACTGTGTGCCCTTTCTTTCTCCTTAACTAACCTTTTTCTTTCTCCTTCAAATTCACGACCTGAATTTTTCATAGCAAAGGCAACAACATCTAGTTGTACATCTGCCTTGTTAGTTGTTGTTTTTGTCTGTTTCTCATGCCAAAGAACTAGGGAATATGCTTTGTTTACTATAGGGAGTGGATTGTGTAGCGAATTGTTGCTACAAACTCTTGTTTAAGATTCATTGAGACCCATGAGGAATTTCATGGTTTTGTCTCTAAATATGTTAATTGAGCCACATGTGAAGATCGGGAAAAAACTAAGTGTGCCACGTTCATCCCATAATCCTTTTAGCTTTGTAAAACAGGAACCCACAAACATGCTTCCTTGCTCACAAT